TAGATAGATAGATAGATAGATAGATAGATAGATAGATAGATAATAGATAGATAGATGATAGATAGACAGACAGACAGATAGATAAACAGGTTCCCTGAAAATAAGACCTCCCCGGATAATAAGCCCAATCAGTCTTTTGAGCGCAGGCGCTAAAATAAGCCCTCCCCAAAAATATCGCAACACAGAAGCAGCCATGAGATGAGCACGCTTGCTGCCTCCTGCATCTCAAAAATAATAAGACCTCCCCGAAAAATAAGGCCAAGATCCTGTCTTGTTTTCGGGGAAACACAGTAGATTTAAATGATAACTATTAAATATCTCCACCACTTGCTCCAAAGTGTGTAGGTAGTCCTTGATTTACAACCATAATTGAGCCTGAAATTACTGTTGAAAGTAATGCCAGTCAGTATGCTGATCAACACGTGACACCTCCCCCCCCCCCGATTCTACAACCTTTTTTTGCAACAGTCATTAAGTGAATCATTGCAGATTGTTAAGCGCTTTTTGGCAGAAACTAGAATTAAATACTGGTTTCTGGCGGGGAAAAAAATGTTATAAATTGCAATCGTGTGATTTTTGGGATGCTGCAAATGGCTATATATGTGGATCGGTTGCTGGGCACTCCAAAATGCAATCATGTAACCACAGAGGGAGGGTTGCCCCTCATCAGAACGTGGGTCATAAATAGCCTTGGGGGGGGGGGTGTCCATCAGAGAGTCAAACACTTGATAAACAATTGGTTGTAAGTCAAGAACTATCTGTATGTGCATGTTTGAGAAGACCCGGTTTTCCCTGTTTGTTCAGGACTTTATTATAAGCCTTATTATAATTTGAAAAACGAAGGCTTTTGTACAGTGCCTAAGTGAAAGGAAAAAGGGAACTCTGTCATCAGAACTTACCATCCCAGTGGTAGTGTTGCTTTCAACTCTCAGAAAGAAACTTGGATTTATACCCAGCTTTAATTACGTTCCCCCTTTCCTCCCTCATGTTGACGTTCTGATGTTCATTAGTACGGCTCCAGCTCATAGACGTAAACATTGTTTTTGTAATCTATAGGTAGGATAGCAAATTGCTCATACAACTTTCACGTGTGGCATAAATCTTACCTTTAAAAGCACTCATAAACAGTTTATTGGACTTTCTTCATGTTTTTTTTCTTCTTCAAAAAAGGCTTGATATTTTGCAGTCATGGATAGCAAGGGGTTTTTCTTACTTGAAAGTTAATGTGACTTTGTTGCTGAATGATGATCAACTGCCATTCTGGGCCCATTGTTTTCATACATATTTGTTCTGTCTTTTCTTGACACACACACACATTTGTGCAGGCAGAGGAATTCCACTCAGTTGTCCACGTGCTTCTGGAATGGCTGGCTGAAGCTGAGCAGACCCTGCGTTTCCACGGGATCCTACCAGATGATGAAGAGGCTCTGCGTATGCTAATAGATCAGCACAGAGTGAGTTACATAACGGGGCCACTTCCCAAAATTAGATTTATAGAAATGTGACAGTAAAATGAAAGCACTCCTGGCTTATGTATAGCTAACAAAGAAAATATGTTTTCTGCCCTAGAAATGAGGTCTTATTAAGCAGAGCAGTTGCTATAGATTGAAATCCTCTGTTTATTTAACCGATACTTTTGATAATACTGTAAACTTTAAGTCAACTGGCATAACCTCAGTGTGACAATCACAAGTCCTTAGTGACTTAATGGAGGTGTGTTATTATTAGACAGCAGTGCACTTTATCATTCTTATAGATAAAGTAAAGCTTGGAAGGGGCCATTGGTTCATTCCGGTTCCACCACAAAACCGTGTTCGACTAAAGGGCGCTCGACAAAACCGCGTAGCTGTCACAGTGCGACAACAGCGCAGAGAAAAAAGCACGCTGTAAACGCTAAACCTAAAATTAACCCCTAAACCTAACCCCCCTAAACCAAACCCTAACCCTAACCCTTAACCTAACGCTAAACCTAACCCTAAACCTAACCCTAAACCTAACCCTA